TTTTTAATTTTTAATATTATTATTTTGTTTGGAAAATTAAATTTCGTTTCCCACAAAATTCACGCAATATTTGTGATTTAAAAAATCGATTTGATATGCAGAAGAGCGCGTAGTTGCCGAGGTCGTTTGCATACGTCGCATCCATGCAACCGTCATAACGGGCAGGCAACCAGTGAGTTAGTCAACGCAGAATTTCGTAATCATAGTCGACCATTAGGAATTGTTAGATTTTTTTGTTGTTATTATTTTTTGTACGTTTGCGTTTAAAAGTACCGTTGGCCAGCAACATTTCGATCATTTGTTTTGCGGTTTGTTGTTGTAGTTGTTTTCGTTTTTCGTTTCGGTAAGTCATCATTGTCGTCGGGGGTGACACGTTGGCGTTGTCGCAATGTTCAATGCATTGTTGCCAGATGTCAGCGCAATTTGACGCCGTTTTCAATTTAGAAGTTTTATTTTCGTTTTGTTTTTCGAAAGGCCAGCAGTTTTATTTTTTATTTATATTTTCAAAATGGGTTTTTTTTGGGTGTTTTGGTTTCATTTGCATTTTGTTGCGTTGGAGATCATTGTTGCAGCCGTTTTTTATGCGGCACGGAAAAGGATATTTCATGTGCAATTAGTGGATATTGGATTATTGTTAGCAGCGTCGGTATTTTCGTTTTCGTTCGTTTGTGATTTTGCAATGTTGCATTTAGAGCGGCCAGTGGTTATTTTCAGTAGATTAAGTTTTAGTGATTTTTATTTTGTATTTAGGTTAGAAGAGTGTGGGTTTTGATTTTGAATTAGTTTGGTTTTGGAATTATTTTAATTGGTAAGAGTATATGTGATGGTTTTGTCATAATTGAAAAGTTKTTTTTTTTTGTTTTTTGTTGGTTTTGATATTTAAAGTCAAATTTTTAGTTTTGATATGCAAAATATTTCATTCAGTTATGTTAATTTGTGTAATTTTCCATCGTTGCAAATAGAGTTTTGAAGAAAAATGAGATTTTTTTCTAGGATTTAGTTTAGATTTTTAAAAAATTTTCCAAATATTTATACACCACAAATTACATTATAGAAAATGGAATAAAGAAATAAGATAACAAAAACTCATATGGTGCAGTTGGTGCATGGTTAGAGTTAGAACAATTATTTGTTTATATTTTTTGAACATTAAGATTTGACATAAATATATAGTACAATTGATATATAATAATGTGGTAACTTGATTCATAATGTTATATTTAGTAGACTAAGATATACATGTAAGGTTATATAGTTACATAGAGGATTGATAAAAACGATAATGAAGGTGGTACGGAACCGTAAAATACCAAAAATTATAACTTAAATTCCAGTTCACATTTGTTTTTTATTTTTTATTTTATTTATTTATTTTTTTTTTTTTTGAAGTTATCAGTATAATTTGTTTTTTATGTTGATTACTTGTAAGTCATGGAAACTGCCACTAAATTCAACTAACTTTGCATAAAAGGCCTTAGAGAAATAAGGCGATTTTTAGTAAACTTAATAGTACTTATCTCGCAATTTGTCACTAGCATAAATTCCCTCTTAAAATGGAGCTCGAATGGAGTACTAATCGAGATATACCGTTTTTAACCCATAAAATTCAACTACCCTCTCCACTTCTTCTTCCCTGCCACAGACCACCGGTAAATTATTTTGCCTTTACTTGTGTTTTTTATCTTTCTTTTCCAATGGGTTTCATGCGGCGACTCGTTGCACGCTGGGCATATGTGTGATATGTCATAAGTAGGAGTTTAACCTGCTACACTATCCAGAACGGAGCTGGGCAAGGCTCACTCACAAATCGATGTTTTGAGTGCTTAAAAATATAGTTTTTTCAGTTGATGCCTAAGAATATTGTCATGATGAAGAGTGATAAGTCGATAACGACGACTTTACACACATCAATAATTTTTGAAACGAAACCGATTTTGTACGATTTTCAAGAAATTCGTCTGGAGTGATCTGCGATTTTTGATTGATTCGATTGATTATCGTTAAACAGTGGCCCTTGAGCTTCATTTTATCGCTTAAAATTTAGTTAAGTTCATCGATACATTGTTCCTGCGCTAATCCACGTCGTCGAAAGTTGTGAAAAATAATTGCTCCAAAATGTTCATGATTTAATCACATGTTTTGGTCGAGATAAATCTTTTAAGTTACTGTAAAGAACAAAAATTGCGCTTATATGACAAAACCTTTTGAGTATGTATAATATCAAAAATGTCAAACTTGACGATAAAGTTGTGAGTTGCCCAATCCCGAAATATTAAAGGTGGCCTACCTATTAGTTATTGATTTGAGTTGTACATGGATGCAAAATTTGGAAAGCACATAGTGATAGATGGTTAGAAAGACGAAAAATAATATAATAAAAGTGAAAATATTCGAAGTTAGAGTTTGTAGAAGGTCAGGCATGCGAGAACACATAAAACATTGACATACGTGATAATATATTTGCATAAAAAATACTGTACTGCCTATAAATACATATATAAATAATACGTTAAAAATACTCATAACCTTTGAATACATCAATACATACACACATACATATATATAACAAATGTATAGACAAAGAGATAAACACAAATAGTTGAGTGCAACAAGTAAGTTGAATATTAAATGGTGCAAAGTTTGTTTCGGTTTTAAATTGGTGCGCTTAAAATTCGATATTAAGTTGTGAAAAACTTAACAAATAGTCAAGTGAAAATAAATAGTAAATGAAAACAGTAAGTGTCATGAATTGCCGGAATATGTGCGGGCGCTTATGTAAACTATGGCTTCCTGCTGAGTGATAATAAATAAAGCAAATGGTTGATAACGGTGTAAACGCTGTTAAAAATTTTAATAACAAAAAAGTAAATATGAAAGAACTAAAAGCATACATTTTGGTGCGCAGAAAAGTGAACGACAGATGAAAATATAAATATTAATTTTTCAACGCCGTTTTTCTTCAGCAAATTTAATGGCAGTGAGAGTAATTTATATACATGTACTCGCGCATATTTTTGCATACATGTTTAACGGTATTCATAGCATATGCACTGACACGGTGAGCGTTGAAAGCTAAAAACTCGTCGCCATAAAGTATTAAATTGAAAAGTTTAAATATTCAACCCGCAAAAATGCATATTTTTATGTGCAGAAGCATATCTGAGTCAGCGAAGCTGTGTTTTGTTTGGCGCACTAAATTGCTAAAGCAAAACAATTAACAAAATGGGCGTTCAACATTTGATTAAATGGCTATTAAGCGTGTATGGATTAATTACTGTTTAACACAATTTCTTTTTCAACCAAACGCAAATATGAAAAAGTGATTGGTTATTGATTACAGCTACTCAGTTTGAACATAAAACACTGACGGCTTGATTAACGGCATCGGCATAGGTATTTTAGGCGGTGTTCAACAGTTGTATATGTATATTTGTTTTTTGGGGTCTTTTTGGAAACTTGCCTGGTTTTATTTTCACTTTAGACTATTTTTAAAGAAATTTCAAGTAAAAATCCTTTTTAATTGATAAAGTACAGACAACTCTGGCTTTTTCAGTTTTGATTTCGATTACTTTTCTCAGAAATAAAAACTGAAATTTGATCTTTGAAGCCTAGCAGCTTCTCCCGAAAATATTTGAAGTTAGCCTTGTTAATTGTATACGTAAAAATAGATAGAAATAGAATGAATTGAGGACCAAAATTTTCAGAAAAACTTCCAAATTCAATTAACTCTTTCTGGAGTTAACGTTAAACAGAAGGGTGGATTGAAGTTCGACAATCTTGTCTGCACACATTTAAAAATACTTGAGTACTTGTCTAGGAAAGCGGTTTCATTACAGAGTCAAGAAAACGTTGCCTACAATTGGGCGCTTTAATCATTCGGGAATTTAGAAAAAGTTCAAGACCATGATAACTACACTTTCAATCCCATCAGGTTGTATGATACTACATTTTTTGTACTCCTTTTTTAAGCATTCATTGTCTAACGCTAAAAAATGTTACACAAAAACCCCGATTACTGTAAAGTATGCATCCAAAAGTCCTAAATATAACTGTAATTCATCAACGCTTTGCTGTCGCTAGAATTTCGGTTGACGAGCACGCATTCGCCGCTTGTCTGCCTAGTTAAAACACCGAAATACATACACATACGGATTTTGTGGCATGCAGTCACGTCCGACACATTTGTTGCACTTTTCATTTTTAGGCGTAGCATAGTTATAAGCTCCAAATGCAGGGACATCACAAAATTTGCTTTGACATACGTGTTTTTACTGTTAATTTTCGCTCACATTCCAAAACGTCATTGAACTTTGGTGTCAGCGGTAATCTAGCGCACTGGACGCTTTTGGGCTGCATTTGCAAAATAAAGTTTTGTTTGTTTTTAATGCAAAGTGTTCCTGGAAATATAGTTACTGTTTATGTAACCTCGTGCAACGGTTATGGGTCAAGCACTCGTATGCTGGTGTATATGCGCAAGGTGTATGAATTCATAAAAATAGTTAGTGAAGCGAAATGACCTAGTTTTTTCACGTATTGCTTCATAAATATAAATTTCATGAGGTGTTATTTTTTAGAAACGGTTTGCAGGTTTCTATACTGAAAAAAAAAAACTATGGTTTTGCTATCGTATGAAAAATAAAATCTTGCTTTCATATATTCAGTTCGTGCCACTAAATAATCTAACGTGGCCAGACCCGGGGATTTGTTTCCTTGTTTATTACAAAAATCAGAGTTTTCCAATCTTTTACAATTCACACAAGTTTCTAAGGAAGGCGGTCGGTAATAACTTAGCCTCAACCACTGATAACCAAAAGTAAAAACGATGTAGAATTGAAGGAACTGACAGACGGATCAGGGTGAGATTGAAGGCATTAAGAACATACACCGCCATCGCTAAGATCATGTGTAAGAGCCACACATGCATTTTACTCACACGTTCTTGCAAAACCTACAGGACGGTTGTTGGCCTAATAACAGGTCACAACTAATAGGTATCACATGCGAGCCGAATGGGCATAAGTAACGACGATAAATGCAGAAATTGCATAGAAGTAGCAATGAGAGAAGCGCTGAAACTCCTCCTATGCTTTTCTTCCTCGTTTAATTTCTAGGCGCTTCGCAGTTCAAGATACCAACCTATCATGGACCAGTAGTTCTATATATGGCGTGGAAGCCGGGCAGTATAACCTAATACTGTCCATGATCGATTCTTGTATTTTCAACGAATGAAATTGCGCAAGATTTTAAAGGAGTAGCCATCTCAAAACAGTGCATGGAATATTTGACATAAGAAATGCCTTATTTTGTGATCGTTTACAAAACATGAAACTATTGGTACATGCCAGAAGCCATAGAATAATCGAAACAGTCGATAACACCAGGAAACCAACCAAAGCGAAAACTATACTACTCGTATCAGCTAGAATTTGGATGATCACCGTATTCCGTTATTCACAAGGTGTGATATACATAAAGTACCTGGAAAAAGGAAAGAAAACATCCGGCAGAGTTCTACTATACCTAATTATTAAAGTGATAAATTGAAAAGAAGACCAATCGTTTTGGTGAAAGATAAAGTACTTTTTCAGTTTTCAGTTTCAAACTTTTTTTTCTTTGCCCTCATTTCGACTCGCAATAAATAAGTGTCTCAGTGATCCAAGTGGAGGTACTTTTTTCTTTTGCCATATCACGCGATAGTCGTGTTAAGCTGTCATTTCATTTTTGTTCACTTACGTTTGTCATTTGACTTACCCCTGAACAACGTTTACAAATTGTTCAACTTTATTACGAAAATTCAGGTTCTGTAAAGAATGTGTTTGAAGCGCTTCACTCAACTTACGGTCAACATAATTGGCCTATTCGCAACACCATCACCCATCTTGAGACCCAGCTTTCATTATTGGATAATATTCGACCGAAAAGACTACGTCCAGCACGCAGTGAAGAAAATATAGTATCCAGAGCTGAGAGTGTTGAGTGCGTAGTGCTGAGAGGCGGCGTTTTTTCACGTTGCCAGTGAGAACGTGACCGTCAATGGCGACGGTTATAGCGCCATGATAACCGACTATTTGATGCCTGAAATTGAATCTCGTGATTTTGGCAACATTTGGTGACAACAAGACGGCATCTCTTTCCACTCATCACGCGTGTCATTCGCCAGTTATCAGGCGAAATGTTCGAACGAGTCATTGAAAATTAGACTCAACGGATTTACCAACTAAGATGTCGCCGCGGCTAACTTTCGAAAGAGATCTTCATCTTACTTCTTATTTTTTTAACTACCTGTTTTGATATAAACGACCTTTAAGTCAAATTAGACTTACTGCGTCTGCTATATGCTCTTGAGTTTCGATCTGAGCAATATCTTTTGAAAATGGTCGACTCGGCTTGTCATTTATTAAAGCGTATACTTTGTCGGATCTACTGCTGAGTATTAGAAATTTATATATTCCTTCAGGTGCTGAGAATTTTAGTTCCAGCGTTCACCGGCCGTCAAAATAGTGAAATGTTTATACAAGTACAAAGAGAAATTAAAAAGTTTAAAGTATTTATATGTGAATGAAAGAATATAACTGAAGTAAAGTCGAACCCAAAATGGTTTTTCTTAAAGGAAAATGTGCTCGATATTGAAAATAATAAAGTGTCTATTTTTATTTGGCTAAATACCCCAGTCAAATAATTATATGTGCAATGCTTCAACTTTAATTATTTTAAGAAGAAACATTGAAAGAATGTGGACATTTTTTTCTTGTCTTTTATAATTAAAAGAACTAAACATTACATAACAAAATTATATTCAAATATTTTTCTTAATTAAAAAAAAATAATACTTTATGAAATTTCCATATCAAATATTTATATGTGCAAAAAATTATTTCAATCCAAGTACATATCTTTTTATTTATATATGAAATAGTTTTGAATTTGTTAATAAGGGATTGTGTTACCCTTATGTATCTTCACCAATTGGACACGATGAGGCATTGAATCCACCAGTTTTTTTAGCACAGACATATCAATTTTGTTCCATTCGGCCAAAATGGCATGCTTTAGTTGCTTAAGGCTGTCATATTGCTTGGAAGATGCATAAATTTNACGTAAGTTGCGACTTACTTCATTAGAAATAACGGTACTATGAATACGGTGCGGGCATAAACTTTTTAAATGATGCTAAACCGTAAGGTAATTACAAGAAAATATGCATACCAAGAATTTTTGCCGTACCATTAGTAGAACATAAGTTATAGAGAAAACCGATTTTGCACATATAATTATTTGACTGAGGTACATGTCTATTGTATTTTTTAGTTGTAAGTGTAGTTGTTATTGTGAACCTGTTAAATTGAATCAAAGAGTAAATGTTAATTGTGCATTGGTGCGAATTTACAAATTGTGATTAACGGTAAATCTAAAGAGTGTTCAACACTTTCTTCAATTTTGTGCGCTATTACCATAATTTAGTGCAATGGTGCGATTTAATATTTGCATGTGAAAGTAATTAGAGACTTGTACTCGCTCTTCGATATAACTTTTCTTGTTATTGGCAACTACGTGATTTCAAAGTGATTTATATCTGATTTTGATATTATTTTTTGTTAACTTTTTAAAGTTTACGAGTGCGCTGGTGCATTGAAAATTCTAATTAAACTTTTTGTGCGTTTTCAAAAATAATAATAGAAAATAATAGTATAATATAACTAAGACAACGCAATTGGTGCGGTCAAACCAAACAAAGTTGAAAGAACTAAAACGGATTTTTATACGCCGCTTCAAAACCGATACATACCCTGGCATTTGCGGAGTCGCCACTCACCCTGTGACCGCCAAGATTATTCACCACACACGTGAAGGTCGCATCGCGCCCCTGCGCTACGGTGACATTTTCCAGCGGGAAGACGAAATCCGGCTCGAATGCGCCCACTGTCGAGATTTGGTTGGAAATGGAAATATCTTCATTTCAATTGTTTTTTAGGTTTTTTGCGATTTTTAACGGTATTTTTTTTTTTTATTTGATTTTGTTTTTGCAGTACGATTGCAATCGGGCGGTTTTGCATGAGTGGATGAGTGATGGAAAATTGTTAAAATGGCGTGGAGTGGGGGTTTGGTGGGTGAGTGCAATTTTGTTTCGTTTTTTTTTTTTGTCATTCAATTTGATTGCATTTTTGTTTTGGTCAGTCGATTTGTGAATGGAAATGGGGCAAATCAATTTAAGCAGCATTTAAAAAATCGCGTAAAAAGAAACAAATAGAACAAATTGAACAAAACACACAATTATAATAATTCATTTCGGCTGTAGTTTTCTTCAGTATATTTACATAATTATTCTTAATTATAAATGAGTTTAAAATTCAATACATAAGTGAGTACATAATTGAAATTGTTGTTGCAAATCAAATGTAGCAACATAAGAGAGACGCTAATGTTGTCAATCATCTGTTGTGCAACATAATCACATACATACATACACAGGCACACATAGAGCATAAAGGGTGCGCAGTATGCAGAAAATATAATCGAAATGTAATTCGAGGCATTTTTAAATTGAATATTTTCTTAAATTTCTTATCGACTCAGTGCAGGTTCGACTATATATTGCATAATTAAATAAAAAAAACATTGATATGTTTATGTATTAGTTATAGCATAAGTTGGAAGAATTGTTATCTTTAATATTAAAATATTTATAAAAACCTTTTAAAACCTTATTCAACATTCTTTTTTTTTTTGTTCCTTTTTTCAGAGACATTTTAATTTTTATACAACATTGCTCAACCATTATTAAAATATCGCATTTAAAATAAGGTGAGTACCTTTTGTTTTTTAGACATATTTCTACTCTGCATACCATTTAATCAAATTTGACCCGGACTGATCCTCACGCAAACCAAATAAATAAAAAAAAAAATGTCTGATTTCAACCTATTTTGTATTCGTGTGAAGATTGACCTCTATAATTCAATTAGGGTGAGCTTGGTAGCTGTTTGTTTCCGACGCGAAAAATGTGTCTGGTGATTTTTACCATGGAAAAAATTATCGTTGTTAAATTTTCCTTTTCCATTAAAAAGCTATAGACATTTTTTACGTTTTGCGTTTTATGGAAATGCAGAAAGTTTTTTTTGGGAGTCCGCTTCCTCGCGAACGTAACGTGATCGAAACTCACCTCATGTGAGTCTTTCACATTCCACATTAATAACGATAACATCAAAAAAGTGTAAGAAACAAAGAGTTAGCAGAGCATCTCAACATCTGTTATGGACAGTTTGGTAAATGAACCTATTGAACATATCATTATTAGTGATAAGACGTGGGTTAATGAATAAGATGTCGAAATTATCCAATAATATATCGAATGACATACTAAGGTGAAACCGAAAATCGTGGAAGATACTGAGGGCCATAGGCTCAAGAGCCTATTTTAATGGCGATCGATTCTGATCAAATAGTATGTTACCAAAATGGATTCCAGTAGTCCATTAGAGCACTTTTGTGCAACGAGTGATTCGGTTGAGAGGGTATTTGTTTTAGGATAGCGCGCACTATTCATTCAATAATATCACAACATTTCAGAAAAGTGAATTTGAAAAAATATATAATAGAATTCGGACTACCGAATATTAAATTTTGTTGCTAAAATGAGGAAGAATTAAAAAACTTTGCCATCATGGTTGAGAGTGGTACTTGAGTTATCATTTTACACTCTCTACTTACCATATATCAAGATATTAAGAACAAAGATATGACTAAAATAGCGCAAACACTAAAGATTCCGATCAATAACCAACTGAGAGTTATAGAAACAACTGAGATTAATATATAAAAAGCAAATGTTTACTTCAAAAATTGGGTTTAAGTGCGTTCAGAAAACTTCGTGCAAATAAGGATGGAACTTCCGAGGCACCACAGAGATATAATATGAGATATTCAAACTTTCTCGATAGCATACCACTAATAAATGGTCTATGTTGTAAATATTTTGAACTACTAACGCTATATACCGGTTTTAACGATCGTTCAGTATTTCGTTTAAATTTTTGATTTTGGCTTTTGAATTTTGCAGTTGCTTGAAATTGCTCAACAGGTTTTTTAATGACTTCCATATAGCATTTTCTTAAGTTTGAATAGCGTATAAAGCCGCTGTAGGTCATTTTCTCAACAAAATTATCATTAAAGGGAAGGAGAAGAGCTATGTTAACTGAAGTTAATGATAGCGAGACTATTGTATAATTAAGACGAGTTAGAGAGAATTTCTAGTAAAAGACTGAATTGACTAAAATTGCTTAACCGGTTAATAAGCTAAACAAGGCACACAATCAGGCTTCCATGTTCCATTCCATTACCATGAGTTCGCTTCACAGGATCAAACGGTCAATAAAGACAAGTAATAGTCCTTAGTGACCATCTACGTGAAATAATTCGTCAGATAATACTTAAAAATACTTGTTTTTTTTTTGGCAAACCGGATCAAATTTGATAAGTTGGCATAATATACTGAATATACAAATCAGCCTAAGAGATTGTTAAATTTAGAACTGTTCGTCCAAACACTAAAATAATGATTAAAAGTGGTTTAATACGGAAAACTCTGTATTTGCTAATTGCTTTATTTTAAAGGTAGAAAATATTATCCAAATTACTTTTTGACATTTAGCCGATATAACATTTCTTACTTTGATTGAGACTTGCCTTTAGTCGAAACGGTTTTTATGCTTAGAGATTAACTTTTATTAACTTAATTAGCCTAGCGCACCCGTCTGGCTAGTCCATCATGACTTAATGTCTCAAGAACTGTTTCACTATTTTATAATATGTATGGCCTGGAAATATTAGCGATTTTTTTTAAACAAGAAGAATTGAGAATTGCTATCTTAACATTTTTACCATTCAGCGAATATTCAGCTGAAATTTCTAAGGGTACAAGATTGTTCCAAATAAAGATTCTGTGAAAATTTAAAATTTTCTGCTGCTTTAGCGACAAATGGAAGAGAGTCATGACGTTTCTTATTTTCCTTCAAGTTTCAAGTGTTAATGCTTTTGAAAGAATTGTATAAATTATTATCTTTCATTAAGCAATTCGTTTTTAATGTTGAGCTCACTACATTTCCGGTTTTCATAATGTCTGATTATATTTATTGAGTCGAAATTAAAAAACAAAACTCAAAAAAATTTGACCTTTATCTTTTTCCATAGCATATGCCTTATCATAAAGCATTATAATTAGGCATAAGTAATTAGCCCTCTATTTGATTAATTTCACTTCCGGCAGCTCTCTCATTCACACCCATGTGCAAGATACTTGTACATATATTCAAATGTGTATATCAGTTTGTAACATAGAACCTACTCACCAATGCAGTTGCAAATGAGAAAGGCAACCAACAGTTGCCATCGTACGGCTGCACATTGCTGCAGTGTTGTTGCTGTAATGACCAAGTGTGCATTGAGTAGTCGCCGCATGCGGCGTCCAGTGGTGCACGTGGTTACTGGCGACGATGTGCGATTGTGATAATAACGCTTTGATGTTCTTGTTGTTGTTGTTGGTGTGCCTCTTRTGCACAAACTTTGCGGTCTATCCCGTGTCTCTGTAGGAGTCCTGCACGCCTGGATTGTCGTTGTAGTTGTTGTTGCCGATGATGGGTTTGTTCGATTTGATTTCGACGACTTTCTTATTAATGTTGTGACTGATGTGGACGCCACCTGGCGAGTGACAAATGTGGTTTCAATTGCGGTTGTCATCATGTTGAGTTGTCTGACACTAATTCCATTGTTCGGTTAAATTCCTTTTGATTGTGTCACACGAATTAGCTGGAGTTAAGACCACTTTGTGTGTATATATAGCAGTGATGTAGGTTTAATTTCGCTGCAAAGAGGAAAAAGTATGTAAAATTTTATTAAATTTTGAGGAAACGATTTTTAGGCGTTCATATAGTAATTTTCGAGAGCTTTAATGGAGTATTATTGAAAACATTAAACAAAAGTCGAGTTTTACTCAGAAAATAGATGATTTTTGAACGACTCAACTAAATTTTCCAATAAAATCGAAAAACTGGCCATTGTACAAAAAAGCACCCAGAATTGTATTTGTAAACAAATTTTGTGTGCTGAATGGCTGCGAATGTTGGTAAAGGCTTACGGTTGCACAAGACGACGAGTGGTGCAAAGACTTCAAATAAGGTCGTGAGGTCGTTGAAGACATGCTTCGTTCTGGCGACATTCGACCTCTTCAACTGATAAAAATATTAAATTGAACGACATGGTCAAGTGTTAGAGAGATGGTAAAGAGATCGACGTCTTTCACGAGTCGTTTTGCTTACAAGTTCCTTGTACTTTTTTGGCACAATGTATGAAGAAAATTCTAGTTACAACTGCAGCCACTAAGAAAAATGTAGTTTTGAGAAAAATACGTTTAAAGACAAACTAATAGAACTGAGCCGTTTGCCTATTCGTTAAAAATCTTAGTATGTTAGTTTTAAAGCTAATCGAAATATGGTAAAACAATTTTTGTTTTGAAATGTTGTTCTTTTGCTTATTTACTTCCTATCCTGGCATTTATACCAAAGTAGTTTTGTTCACCCAAAACATACTGGGCTATGGAGAGATTAATACGCCTCTAAATAGAGAAATTTTTTATAAAATTTTTTTCCAATTTGTAACTCAAGAAAACTCCTATAACCCACAGCTTATGTTTATTTATTTTACATACGAATTAAGCCAAACTTCTGTGGGCTAAACTCTTAATAACTTTCTGACCTCTAAGCCTTCCATTTCATACAAATAATGTTCCTGAGCACAGAGCCGCACTCCATAGAACTACATGTGGGCTACATGTGTTTTACATCTTAAAAAATCGATTTTTTATTGCCAATGTTTAGGTTAATCTGACTAACACAACTTTGAAAAGTTGCGTCTTCGAGTTCAACTATATCCGTATGTATATAGTCACTTAAAACTTTGATTGCGTTATGTTCGAAACTGTATTTTCGAAGTCAGTTGTCAAGATGTCTCGCAAACTAATAGAATTTTACACAAGTCTTTGATTGAGATATATGTTACAAGGTCTGGCACAAGCAATCTTTTGCAATTACAAACAAAAAAATGTCGACATTGTTTGTGATTTGGCAAAAATGTCTGCCACAAATACAATAACCTAGTTTATTGTCTTAAGGGGGTATTCTAGTCTAGAGGCTCGAATTTCGAGCTTATTTCAACAATTAATAAAAAAGAAGCATTGGATATTTTTACTATATGTTTTTTTTTATCATTTGTTTATTAAATATAGAAGAGTACACAAACTAAATTTCAAACAAAAAAAAAAAAAACTTTCATCGAGTTATGCGTCCTTCAAGAAAACGGGGAGAAAAAGCGGCCGTGTCGCCATGATTTCTACCCTTGTCGTCATGTGAAAAATAAAACAAAGAGAGATTCTTAATGAGTACGAATGTCGCTATGTCATGAAGCAGCAAAACTAAATTTTTTTTTTCAGAAATGGACCGGCTACTCAAAAAAGGCCGATTTTTTCACAAATTTTTCAATTTTGTCGATTTTTTTTTAAATATTATAAATTTCAAATTTTTTCGTTTTTGTTGCTTCTAGTGATGGAGATATTATTAAAGAATATTCATGCCAAATTTCAATTAAATCGGCTGATTAGAACTTGAGATATTGTGGCTACCGCATCAAAAAAAGGAGTTTCGAGAAAATCGCGTTTAGAGTTTTGCATTAAGTTTCGGACCGCGTAATAGATAGATAGATAGTTCGCTCAACCGGTCTAGTTGCCACATCTCTAAAATATATTTAACTTTGAAAATTATTTCAGTTTTGAAAAATCATTTTAGGGAGATATTTTTGAATATCAAAACTATCGAATTATGAAAAAAAAAATTTCGATTTTTCGATTTCAAATTTCTAGACTAGAACACCCCCTTAACTAAAAACCGCAATTTTTGCCTTTAACTTAGATGGTTGATTATGTGGGAGTTCTGCTGTCAACACGAAAGCTTTTTTCTGAAGTCCTGACGGAAATTACCTCATAATTGCCGAGTTTTGAATATTTTCCATTGGCTTCACTTATCTCCACAGACAAACGGTCTGATATCACCCCATCTTGGTGACCAATCGACTGGCCCTAAACGTGAAATGATTTGCTTACCGAAGTGTTCTCTTAATAAATCCACTGATTGATGCGTTGTGTGGGAAGTGGCGCCGTTTTGTTGAAACCAAATGTCGCCAAGAACACGAGCATCAAGTAGTCTGTTAACATGGCGCGATAAGCGTCACCATTCACTATTACTTTTTCACCGGCATCATTTTTGAAAAAAAAATGAGAACAGATGGTTCCACCGGCCCACAACCCACACCAAACTGTGCTTTTATCTGTGTGAAATGGCAGCTCTTGAATCTCTTCAGGTTGCTCTACGTCCCAAATGTGACAATTTCGCTTGTTTATATACATATTGAGCCAGAAATGGTCCTCATCGTTGAACAAAATTTGGCTCGAAAATATTTGATCTTCTTCGAACTTGTCAAGAGTCCATAAAGCGTCAGCTCGAGTTGGTGCAAACGGTGCCGAATCGACTCTCCACGGTCTTCATGCACACTCTCAGCTAAGGCTGCTATATTTTCTTCACTGCATACATGCATACATGTGGTCTTTGCAGTCGAATATCATCCAATAGTGAGCGCCGGGTTTCAAAATGTACGAAACGCGCGAAACACATTCCTTACAGAAAGTGAATTTTCGTAATAAAATTGAACAATTTGGTTGTTCTGGTATAAGTCCGTCCATGAGGAAATGCCCAAAAATACTGAACAAAAATAATATGTCAGCTTGGCCCTGCTTCAAGCGAGATGTGTCAAAAAAGGCTGATTGGAATACTCTTCCATTTGTCGTGATATCTTTGCAAAAATTGGCTTGGATTATTATCAAGGCAACGGTATAATCTACGAGTAGTAAGTACCATATTATTTGTGCTGCTATACAGATTCACCTGAAACTCAAGTTCCTGTAAACGTTTAATTTGACAAGGATCGTAACAAAATTTGACATAGATTATTATTCAAGGCACCTCTATAATCTCCGCAGAAAATGTTCTGATCAGACACCTATAACATATAGCTGTCAAAATAATGACTTTTGTATGCCCTACTATGCTACATATGTGAAATGTAGTTATGAGCTAATATATAGTTTCGGTGTTAATGCATTTTTTTTTCTTTTTTTTTTTTTTTTGTTTGTGAAAAGCCTTGGCCTCCTCTTTAAAGATCCCCAAGCTATGCTTACGGACGTATTGATACTCTTAAAAAATTGTATTTATCTCAAACTAAAACTTCAAGCCTTTGATACCGTCGAATCATACGTCCAGTGAACCATAACACTAACTTCTTAGTTTTATCTGTAAATGTGTGTGTGTGAATACAATCCTTTATTCAAAGTGCTAAAATGTAAACATATTTAACACCATCACGCAAGTATTACCTCAGCTGCATTTATTCAATATGCCTCAGGTAGTTATGTGAGTGTGTGTGCGCCATTTGTGCAACACCGCGAATTTGATTAAAGCGTTGCACAAATCCCCCACGCCAAGCTTTTATGAGGTCTTTTCTGTGCCACTGCAGCGTTTTGCGCTGAAAGGACACGCGCCGTATTTCTTCCGTAAATAGCAGTTACAAGTGTCTGCATATGTTCTCACAGACACACACATACACACATACAAGCACGCCTGAAATGATACCAAACTGAATAAATGTATGTGAGTGCTTCTTCTGCCTGCTTGCTCTACTGGCGAGCTCTGTACGTGCTCATATATGTACATGTGTGCATTTCGTCCTGCATCCACAAGCTTTCCGATTTTATTACGCCGCACGTGCTCTGCCTGCCGCCTTTTACCAACCTGTCTGCTGCTGTTGTTTCCTGGCAACATGCTGCCTAGGTTTTCCACATACTAACCCAACAGTATAACTGTATGTGATAGTGTGCACCTGTCGCATTCGCAGCGCTCCATTGCCGACATCTCGTCGAGTTGTTTTTGTGGCTTCGAATGCGCAGCGTAAAAGCCAGAGTGTCTGTGTGTTTGTATATATATATATATATATATATATATGTTTATATATATGTGTATGTATGTATGTACACTTACATAGGTATGTATGTCTGCTTGTGTTGTTAGGTTTACCGACTTTTTGTTCAGGTGGACTTGGCAACGCGGTTTTGCTTCTAATATATTGCACCTGCACAAAAGCTTAAACTCTCTCTCTACCTCTCTGCCTTACCCTCTGTTTTCCTCTATCATTAATGCATCAAGGTAAGGTGCTGCAGGAATTTAATTATTAAATTGCAAAATATGCTTTCACGTTCGGCGAAGCACATCCACAACGCCATTTAATAAAGTGAAAGCTTGGTAAGCCAGTGCCAAATATTTCGATTTTATTTGATGCGACAAAGTTGAATGACATTTGCCTATGCACATTTCTATACATCTATATACATATGCATGTAATTTGTCGGCATTGCAGCAATGTTGCTATATCAGAGAGTTTTAAACATGCATGGCTTGCATGATCTATTTAATGTGTACTCTCTAAATTTGCGGTTAAATTCTAGTTCGTGTGAATTACCCTTTGATATGGCTCTGTCTATTTAAGAAATTATACTATTCCACAGTTTTGAATTTAAAGCGCTTTTTGGCAATTGATGAAAAAAACTGAGAGTCTAGTTTCAGTATATACGGACACACTGACGG